AGACGACTGCTGACTCCTGTTAGCTGGCCGAGAGCTTTCCCTTCCCATAGCTCATGGTAAGCCTTACCCTACTAGTTTTACACACAGGAGGGTACAGGAGCAGACGACTGCTGACTCCTGTTAGCTGGCTGAGAGCTTTCCCTTCCCATAGCTCAAGGTAAGCGTTACCCTACTAATTTTACACACAGGAGGGTACAGGAGCAAACGACTGCTGACTCCTGTTAGCTGGCTGAGAGCTTTCCCTTCCCATAGCTCATGGTAAGCCTTACCCTACTAGTTTTACACACAGGAGGGTACAGGAGCAGACGACTGCTGACTCCTGTTAGCTGGCTGAGAGCTTTCCCTTCCCATAGCTCAAGGTAAGCCTTACCCTACTAGTTTTACACACAGGAGGGTACAGGAGCAGACGACTGCTGACTCCTGTTAGCTGGCTGAGAGCTTTCCCTTCCCATAGCTCAAGGTAAGCCTTACCCTACTAGTTTTACACACAGGAGGGTACAGGAGCAGACGACTGCTGACTCCTGTTAGCTGGCTGAGAGCTTTCCCTTCCCATAGCTCATGGTAAGCCTTACCCTACTAGTTTTACACACAGGAGGGTACAGGAGCAGACGACTGCTGACTCCTGTTAGCTGGCTGAGAGCTTTCCCTTCCCATAGCTCATGGTAAGCCTTACCCTACTAGTTTTACACACAGGTGGGTACAGGAGCAGACGACTGCTGACTCCTGTTAGCTGGCTGAGAGCTTTCCCTTCCCATAGCTCATGGTAAGCCTTACCCTACTAGTTTTACACACAGGTGGGTACAGGAGCAGACGACTGCTGACTCCTGTTAGCAGGCTGAGAGCTTTCCCTTCCCATAGCTCATGGTAAGCCTTACCCTACTAGTTTTACACACAGGAGGGTACAGGAGCAGACGACTGCTGACTCCTGTTAGCTGGCTGAGAGCTTTGCCTTCCCATAGCTCATGGTAAGCCTTACCCTACTAGTTTTACACACAGGTGGGTACAGGAGCAGACGACTGCTGACTCCTGTTAGCTGGCTGAGAGCTTTCCCTTCCCATAGCTCATGGTAAGCCTTACCCTACTAGTTTTACACACAGGAGGGTACAGGAGCAGACGACTGCTGACTCCTGTTAGCTGGCTGAGAGCTTTCCCTTCCCATAGCTCATGGTAAGCCTTACCCTACTAGTTTTACACACAGGAGGGTACAGGAGCAGACGACTGCTGACTCCTGTTAGCTGGCTGAGAGCTTTCCCTTCCCATAGCTCATGGTAAGCCTTACCCTACTAGTTTTACACACAGGAGGGTACAGGAGCAGACGACTGCTGACTCCTGTTAGCTGGCTGAGAGCTTTCCCTTCCCATAGCTCAAGGTAAGCCTTACCCTACTAGTTTTACACACAGGAGGGTACAGGAGCAGACGACTGCTGACTCCTGTTAGCTGGCTGAGAGCTTTCCCTTCCCATAGCTCATGGTAAGCCTTACCCTACTAGTTTTACACACAGGAGGGTACAGGAGCAGACGACTGCTGACTCCTGTTAGCTGGCTGAGAGCTTTCCCTTCCCATAGCTCATGGTAAGCCTTACCCTACTAGTTTTACACACAGGAGGGTACAGGAGCAGACGACTGCTGACTCCTGTTAACAGGCTGAGAGCTTTCCCTTCCCATAGCTCATGGTAAGCCTTACCCTACTAGTTTTACACACAGGAGGGTACAGGAGCAGACGACTGCTGACTCCTGTTAGCTGGCTGAGAGCTTTCCCTTCCCATAGCTCATGGTAAGCCTTACCCTACTAGTTTTACACACAGGAGGGTACAGGAGCAGACGACTGCTGACTCCTGTTAGCTGGCTGAGAGCTTTCCCTTCCCATAGCTCATGGTAAGCCTTACCCTACTAGTTTTACACACAGGAGGGTACAGGAGCAGACGACTGCTGACTCCTGTTAGCTGGCTGAGAGCTTTCCCTTCCCATAGCTCATGGTAAGCCTTACCCTACTAGTTTTACACACAGGAGGGTACAGGAGCAGACGACTGCTGACTCCTGTTAGCTGGCTGAGAGCTTTCCCTTCCCATAGCTCAAGGTAAGCCTTACCCTACTAGTTTTACACACAGGAGGGTACAGGAGCAGACGACTGCTGACTCCTGTTAGCTGGCTGAGAGCTTTCCCTTCCCATAGCTCATGGTAAGCCTTACCCTACTAGTTTTACACACAGGAGGGTACAGGAGCAGACGACTGCTGACTCCTGTTAGCTGGCTGAGAGCTTTCCCTTCCCATAGCTCATGGTAAGCCTTACCCTACTAGTTTTACACACAGGAGGGTACAGGGGCAGACGACTGCTGACTCCTGTTAGCTGGCTGAGAGCTTTCCCTTCCCATAGCTCACGGTAAGCCTTACCCTACTAGTTTTACACACAGGTGGGTACAGGAAGGGTTATTTATTCAAACTAAACTCAAAATAAGCCTACGAGGTTGGCGGGTTTTGCTTGGAATTGGATTAGACATACTATTTTCCCGCTCTGTGGAATAGGAACCACAATCATAGCACTATCAAGTACCATTTTTGTTATTGAAACTTGAAATTTAACACCAAAAAAGTAGGATATTTGATATTCCTATAATTATATATTAGGACGCAAGCTTGGGGCCTCGTAGCCTGGTGGATAGCGCGCAGGACTCGTAATTCTGTGGCGCGTGTTCAATTCCCGCACGAGGCAGAAACAAATGGGCAAAGTTTCTTTCACCCTGAATGCCCCTGTTACCTAGCAGTAAATAGGTACCTGGGTGTTAGTCAGCTGTCACGGGCTGCTTCCTGGGGGTGGAGGCCTGGTCAAGGACCGGGCCGCGGGGACACTAAAGCCCCGAAATCAACTCAAGATAACCTCAAGATACATATAGTTTTCATTTCAGAAGTGATTTGTAAATATATTTTGAATTTTGCTCATATATTACATTCCCATATTTAAACAATTATTTTTTAAGTTAAACACAGATGAAGCTTACTGGAAAAGTAAGCTTAATGTAATGAAAAACTACACATAATAGGTTCAGTAACTATACCTCAAGATGAACAGGGTATAAATGTCCTTCGTGAGGTTTACTCTACTTCTAAAGTAAGGTGAGTTTGCTTCAGTCTTGGATTATGCCCAGGACTAAAGTATACTTGCTGGTTGGTCAATAAGCTGTTGAGGTGGTCTTAATAACTCTCCAGAGTATGACAGACCTTAATAACCCTCCAGAGTATGACAGATCTTATAACTTTCCAGAGTATGACAGACCTTAATAACCCTCCAGAGTATGACAGACCTTAATAACCCTCCAGAGTATGACAGACCTTAATAACCCTCCAGAGTATGACAGACCTTATAACTTTCCAGAGTATGACAGACCTTAATAACCCTCCAGAGTATGACAGACCTTAATCCTCCTCCAGAGTATGACAGACCTTAATAACCCTCCAGAGTATGACAGACCTTAATAACCCTCCAGAGTATGACAGACCTTAATAACCCTCCAGAGTATGACAGACCTTAATAACCCTCCAGAGTATGACAGACCTTAATAACCCTCCAGAGTATGACAGACCTTAATAACCCTCCAGAGTATGACAGACCTTAATAACCCTCCAGAGTATGACAGACCTTAATAATCCTCCAGAGTATGACAGACCTTAATAACCCTCCAGAGTATGACAGACCTTAATAACCCTCCAGAGTATGACAAACCTTTATAACCCTCCAAAGGGTGATAGGCATTAAGCCCAACACCACGTCTAACTCCAAGATTCGTGTAGCTAAGCAAGTTACATGGATGAGCCAAGTAACAAAGCTTGTTAACCTTGAAAAAAAATGTACATTTTGTGTGCACTGTCGGCAAAGTGGCCATTGTTTGCCATATAAAGCTTGGAAAGACATAGAGAGCCATTGCTCTTGCTCTCTCATGTCACTTCAGATTCACCCGCTTGCTTCACTCCCATGAACTTTATGTAAATGCAGGGTAGTGAAAACATATTAAACACTAACCAACACTGGAAGTTCATGAATTTGTATTGATTAAATAAGCAATATTATAAAATTATGTATTCAAATTAAATATGAAATCAAGCATGTGATTGTATTCAACTTCGGAAAAGTATAAATTAATCGCTGATGCATCAGGAATAAGTAGTTGTCTCTGGTAATTAACATACTGAGAGGGTATGCCCGGTGTATACTGAGACCCGTGTAGGCATGGAGTATGTGCAGGACTTCAATATACTTGATGGTTGGTCAATAAGCACTTGTTATTCCCGAAGTTGATAGGCATTAAAGCTTTACACCAAACCATCCTAGCTATTAAAAATAAAAATGTTAAGCAGTAAATGTATACGCATGCCAACAGCAGCGCCAACTGGCGGATAATTTAATCTTTTAAATGATGGGCGACGCGCATCAGAAGCCTGGCCTTCCCCAATCTATAGCCGTAGAGAAAATGCAGAATTCGTCCAGGCGATCAAAGAACCTTTACAATCTAACAGGTGAATAGCGTCCTTCCAAGTCCTCAGTCGCTTATAATTTATAAACTACAGTGCATAATTTACTTAAGTTAAGTTGTTCCATTTCTTATTGTATAAGAAAAACGATTAATATATACTCTTAAGAATGGAAGTTATAATATTGTTTATAAATTAAGGTAAAAAAAAAGTGTAATTGTTGCCCAAGGTGGTAACTAGCGGGGCGTGCGGCGCTGTCCAATCGGCTCGTCACATCTTGGTGGACCTCCGCCTTGTTGCCCCAAGAAGAAATTCGATATATACAGATATTTTCCCAAAGTTACCAGTCCAACTTACCACCATACAACCCTCTCCTAGCTAGCCTTACGTACAACCTAGATCTAACCCTCTATCGCCGCCCGCACCTTGCCACCTAACCCCACAGCTTAAGGCGTATATTAAGACGCTGGCATCCTATCTAATGGGATTTTAATTCTATCTCACAGAGTGGACAGACTCGCCTCGCCTGCCCGGCAAGTCCGCAGTCGACTCTCAGTGTGTTGCCAACTTTTGTAGTGAGAGGACGCGCGGTGCGGTGGTCGCCCCAGACATTAATTGCTGGATCCTGTTTACATCTAAACACGCGGGAGGCAACTTATCACATGTTCAAAATTAAAATGGTATGTTTGAGGGAAATATGTTTACCGTTGTTCTCATGTAAGGATCGGTTTATAAGGGAATTAGCATCAATATTATTATGTTCTCGGCAATGCACTGTGAGGGTGAGTGAAAGTGGTCTTCCCCCAGAGGATTCAAAGCTAGAAGTTCACACGTGAAGGCATTTTCGATTTATTCCAAGAACTTATAATGGGTTTAATTTACATTTTTTTTTATCCATTACAAATTTCACACCAGTGGCTTTTCAAACTGGTTATTATTATTAATAGATTTATTCAGCCTTTATTTTTAAAGATTTTTTTGTTATTTACTGTTCCACGTATCATAATTGCTTCAAATATTAAAATAATTATAGAGTTTTTGAAAACTATGATCATTATGGATTATATTCACTCATGGTATGTCTTGGGGCGAAATTCTGATGATATGAATTTACATTTAGCGAGGCAAATACAAATTGCATGAATATATTAACTTGGCATTGTATAGCATATATATTATGGCATAATATATTAACGTAGCATCCCCGTAGCAACTGGGGATGAAACACTGTACCAGTGTTGAAATACACGAAAGTATTGTGGAAATAAATGCCTCCTGGTGTCCCAACACAATTGTCCAACCGCATTTCTAGGGTCAAAAACAATTGTCCAACATGAACCTCGTGTCCAAAACAATTGTCCATCGTGTGCTTTGTGTCCAAAACATTATCATGCATAAACCTTGTTGCCAAAACAGTTGTTTAACATAAGTCTGATAATCAAAACAAGTGTTTAACGTAAATCCAAATATTTCTGGCCAACCTGAACCTGGTGTTCTTACCAATCATAAACCATTATGTCTCAGGTCTTCGAACAGGTGAGAGACGGTTCGTGTGACGAGAATAATGCCAAGTGTTCGAAATCCGCGCGAGAGAGTGTTAGTTACAAACAAACGATAGTTAGTCAAGGTGAGCCATTAAACAATATTGTATACTCCAATTACCACACACAATATTATTATATTATATATATATATTGTATATACAAAATTGACAAATTCCCGGGTATCTAGTTACTGCTGGGTGAACAGAGCATTTGTTTTTTTAACTCATTTAGACACGTCAGCATTTGTACAGCTTCCATAGGCTATACGAAGGGGAGTACAGTGTGGCAAAAAGCTAGCTACGTGATGCTAAAAATCTCCATCACACAGGATGGTTAGTTATTCAGAGGCATGTGATAAGTGGTCTGCACTGGCAGACTCTGGGTATATTATGAGGATATCATCAAGAACACGAGAGTGAATAAAGTAATTGTAAAGCTCCAGGTACCTCATGCCAACGGGTCTGAAAGGTCTAATAACTGGGCATTTGGTGATGTAGTGTGGGAGATCATGCCGCAGTTCCTGCTCACAGAGTTTGCACCTGGAGTGCTCAGGATTGGGAGATCCGTCACCTGTAGCCACCTGCCACAGGTAACGGTAACCCAACCTGATCCTGGCAACCACTGTGTCGCACAGTCTGGTCCACGTTTTGTGCTGCCCATAAACACAGGTTTCAGAGCTGAACAAATCATAGCTTTTTTACTGGTGCTTTCAGGTCGTTGGGAGTCAGTAACTTCTTTCCTATCAGACCTGAGTGGAACAATACAGTTTTGACAGCAGAGATGGGGATACCTAGATCTAATTCAACTTTATCTCTGTTACACGCTAATTTGGCTGCAAGGTCTGTCTCATTTAGATGGGTTATGTGTGATGGTATCCATACAAATGAGATTCGAAACCCTTTACTCTGTGCAGCAATTAGGTCATTTATAGTTGCTAGTCAGAAGTTCTTGCTGTCGATCTTTCAAAAGAAGTTTTCGAGTGCTTGAAGAGCAGACTTTGAATCACAATATTATTCATCCCATGTTTTTTAATGTATTGTTAGCTAGTTGCAGTGTCGTTAGTTCTGCTTTGTGTAGAGGTCAGCCCGTTGTTTAAAAGGAATGGAAAGGAAACGTGGCAACCATTTCCTTCCCGGGATTCGAACCCGGGATTCCCGATAGTAAATTCAAATTGCAATATTATCAATAGGAACACTACAACAATAGTGATATTATTTAGACAATTGTAGCTTACTGGCACTCATTGTTACTTACCCGTGATTTATAAAGATTATTTTCTCATTGGTTTCGTATTGTAGGCCAAAGTATAAGAGTTTGGGGCGTTATCTTGAGATGATGATTTCGGGGCTTTTAGTGTCCCCGCGGCCCGGTCCTCGACCAGGCCTCCACCCCTAGGAAGCAGCCCGTGACAGCTGACTAACTCCCAGGTACCTATTTACTGCTAGGTAACAGGGGCATTCAGGGTGAAAGAAACTTTGCCCATTTGTTTCTGCCTCGTGCGGGAATCGAACCCGCGCCACAGAATTACGAGTCCTGCGCGCTATCCACCAGGCTACGAGGCTTTGTATGGAACAAAGAGGAGTAGGCCTCTTGCTTTAGTCTTTGCGGTTTAAAGGCATTTAGCAGTACTTAAAGGTACTAAAACAAAGTCAGTTAAGTTGGAGCTGCATTGTATATACTAATACTTACCTCTTTGGATATCCTTAACTAGGATTAAGGCTTAACAATATTAAACTTTTTTGTTTACAATTTTCAATTTTTTTTAGAAGAAAATGTTGTTGGGCTTAATGGGCTGGCCATAGGCCTATTCTCTCTCTTAACTGTAAAAAGGTGTCTAGGACTACCACAAAAGCTTAATGCCCAACCAGCAAGTTTGGACATCGCGTCAAGACCATATCCCATAAATAAATACTTAGTGTAGCCTAAGCTACAATCGACTTGAGAATGGTCCAGGACGGACCGAAACGTCGTCCCTTCACCTTCTAGTGTGTGGTCTGGTCAGCTTAGCCTAAGCTATATAACAATATCAGGATACAGTCTTAGTGTAGCCTGTGTACACTGATAAGCAGGGATACGTTCAGTACAGCGTAGAAACACTGTTTAATTTTTAACTTGTATACACACATTCAGTGTCGCCAAAATTCAGCGAGAGGCAAGGTGCACCTTTCAATGTATGTATTAACATTGCCCGAAACGCTATGCATACTAGTGGCTTTAGGTATTATATGTACTTCCTCTATCTTTAAATCTAACGGAATGTTTGTACTGTAACTCTGCAATTATGTATGTACTGTTCCTAAATAAATTATTATTATTATTATTATTATTATTATTATTATTATTATTATTATTATTAACTGTGTTGAAAGTATGTGTTGTCATTTTATTATTTAAAATAGCGGGAAAGAACATAAATGGCAATTTCATTTATCTTATTCTGAAATTCACTTCCTCGTGTGTTTAGTTAACCATAATTGTTCTCTGTGCATTGTCTGGTCTCTCTGGCTGTATGTTGACATAGGCAAGATAGTGAATATATTGAAATCTTAGGATTTACCGTGAATCGCATATTATATATATATATATATAATATATATATATATATATATATATATATATATATATATATATATATATATATATATATATATATATATATATATATATATATATATATATATATATTTATTATACTTCGGTAGCAGTCTTTCTTGTAAACATATATTATTAAATATGACCGAAAAAGTTAGATTAATAATCCTTCATTAGTTTTCCAACAAAACACGAAATGATCCTTCGAGGATTCGAACCTGCTCCTCCAGGATAACAAGGATGCTACCCTGGTGTACCAGGTTCGAATCCTTGAGAGATCATTTCGAGCTCTGTTGTACAAATCTATTTATTTAATTGGAACTCCTTTGCCTTAATAATATAATATGTGGCACCTGGGAATTCTAGGGGATGAGGGGTCTTTCCTGACTCCTCTCGTCAGGGAAGATAATATACTGCACCCGGGGATACCAGGTATGCGCTTATGTCGTCCGCCACCCCTATTTATTATAGTTTGTAAGATAACAAGTTAAGTTTAGGCTAAGTTTTATTAGCCTAAACGTTTAGGCTAAGTTTTATTAGCCTAAACGAGGATTGTTGCAAGCCTCGAGGTATGTGACATACCTCGAGATATGTCACATACGCTAAACTAATCTTAAACACAAGACATAACACAATCATGACAACATAACAAACGAATTATGAAAACAAGAGACGAGGCCTTTTTGTTTGCTTAAGACTAATTTTCTATGCAAATATTTAGAGGATATTGAAGAAACAATTCTACATAACCCATATGGTAACAGCTGCTGATGGAAGGTAGTAATGTGTAGCCTCTTTTGTTATTATCTGTAGGTAATAGGCTCTATTAAACTATTATGACCATCTTGTCTGTAAATTAAAACATCGTAACTGTCGAATAAGGTAATTATGTTAATACCTAATTGCTGGCTATAAAGAAGACGGCGATTAATCATAGTTTATGTTTTGTATATATTAATTGTAGTTACAAGAGTTTTATTTGTAGAATACTAAAAAGCAGTCTGTGAATGTTATACTAGCTTCTCAACTGATTAACAGTTGAGAGGCGGTCCCGCCTCTCAACTGTTAATCAACTGGTGTACAGATTCCTGAGCCTACTGGGCTCTATCATATCTACACTTGAAACTGTGTATGGAGTCAGCCTCCACCACATCACTTCCTAATGCATTTCATTTGTTTACTACACTGACACTGAAAAAATTCTAATGTCTCTGTGGCTCATCACACACACAGTTGTGTGTGTGTGTGTATATATATATATATATATATATATATATATATATATATATATATATATATATATATATATATATATATATATATACACACACACACAGAGCACCCTCCTGGTATCCTATCTCAGGCCAAATAGGATTTGCGAGATAACGGGACACAAAGTCACTAACCAACTAAGGATGGATTTCACCCCCAGGCAGTCGTGAGTGCTCCCCATGCATGCGATTTTCTGGTTGCTCCAATATCTCCAATAATGTCTCGAACACCAGTTCCTTCGTACTACCACCTGTGACTCAATGACCCGATTC